CTTTAAAATGTAATAAAAATAAAATTATTTAAAAAATCTTACAAAATATCGTTATTAATGCAAAAGATATAGATTACGTACTGATTATATATATATAAATCTAATTAGTATACATTCTATTAGTATATATTCTAATCAGTATATATTCTTATCAATATTACTATTTAGAGGATTTTCCTCTTAAAATAAGAAACTCTTCTTGGCGCCTATTTTAGTATAAAATATACTTAAAGTAAGTGGGATATCCTCAAAACAAGAATACAATTTTTTCGGTGTATTTTTCTTATTGCGATTAGTGTGCTGACAACCCGCTTAGCTTTTTCACTAAAGACAAAGTTTTTGCGACCCGTATAATTTTGAGCTTAGTATTCGAGGTCTCTTCGAATTAGAGCAAAAGAAACTTCGGCACCGCGGAGTTTGAATCCGTGGACTCTGATTCGGGTTCCAATGCGAACAAATCTTTTTGGCTTTTGCCAGTTCTACGTACGTCTTTGATAAGAAACGTACTTTTGACGAGAGCTTACTCATGGATACTTTAAAAGAAGTTGCCATGCCACACCTAAGGAAACCATTTTAACAAACATCCTCTTAAATTAAAATCAATTTAATTATCTATGTATATTAATTTACACGTTTAAAAATATATTTGCACATATATCCAGCATATTAACTTGTATTGACTATAAACAACCTCTACTAATTATATATTAAATAGTTAAATTATATATTAAATAGTATTTCAATAACGGCTCCATAAAATAAATTATAAGACAAAAAACCAAAGAGCCTGTGGTCCAAGTTAAAGATAAACGATCAAAAACAACATAAACGCAGTGTATTCCGGACGATTTGATCAATTTTATTAGTGATCATCTTCAGCACTGTGTACAATGTAAAAATAATAATAGAAAAATATAACTTAGACCACAGACTCTCTGGTTTTTTGTTTTATAATTATATATTTTGTTCAAAGACTTAGACAAAGAATCTTCCTTTTTCAAGAAATCCGTTTCCGAGATGATACACATCAAATTACAAAGCAATCAAGAGGCATGGTAGTGCCTCGCGCAAAGTTCACGCGCAACAAAATGGCGCTCGAACTGCGCGAGCACACTGTCTCATACGCGAGACTCATGCATTTTAAGAATAGGAAGGTTTTCTCAGGACAATATTTAAATAAAGACTGAACCGATCAATTTTGTTTTGGTCTTAATCGATTCAGAATAAAACATTTCAAAAAAAAGTATTCTTGCATTTTTTTGGTCTGTGGCTTCTGAATGGAGATAATGGAAGATAAACGAAAATGTGTATGAAATTTATGTTACGTCCTGGTCCATGGATACGGTCGGGCTGTGGTGAAACGCAACAGTAAACGCGTCGTTTTCCATATATCTTTTTACAGTGGACACGGAAGTCTCACTGTGAAAGAGTCGAGAGAGTTTGTTTATATTCGTCGACAGGTCAACGGCGTACGCCGATCTTACTCTGTCTAGCGAACACTCGCTCGTTGGTCCCTTTTTAGGTCTGAGACGCAAGTCTCATTTACCAAGGACCTAGCGATTTTAACGAGGAAGTGAGAGTGGATTGTACGGAGAGAAGGATAACAAAGAATAACTTTTTAGTTTGATTCCACACATTATAAAGTAGTTATATTTATTTAAAAAAAAAACAAATCAAAATCTTAGCAAATTACTAACAGACAGGTGTGTTGAAACTAATACAATCACGGAGCGCATAATCGTTTTGTACAAAGTAATCTATAAGCTAGAGTGCAAGTGTGAAAGAGAAGGGGAATGCGAGGTGTTTAGTACAGCCAGCCTCTTTAACCCATATTTACGCAACTTAGATCATCTTAGAAATGTATTTTCTTATGTCAGTTGACAAATTCGGTTTTGTTTCATTTCTTAGGTTCCGATAGATTTAATGATAGGAATAAATTTGAATGTGTCATGGTTCTACGACTGATATTCGGAGATAAGTAGGCTTTGTTTGTTTCCGTGATTTAAGGAGGAGAAAGAAATAGTTCGGACGCCACCTGAGACGGCTATATACCGCGAGTAGCCCTTACGATAAAACCGAATTTTTGAGCGTGTCTATCTATTTGTTTATTTTAACCGTTTTCTCGATTTCTCTGAAAATCACTCACGAAGTCAGACGTTAATTTCGCGAAAAGTGGAACCTCCGAAGGAAAATAATTACAATGTGGACTTACTATTTGCTGCGGACCAGTGATGTTGATTAATAAAAGGTTCTGGGCCGTTGCGGCACAGTAGTTCACTCTGGGATCTCACTTTCTGCACTCACTGTCTTACTCACTCCCTTAGAGAACTCGCTGTGGTACTTCTAAAATCTGCAGCTCTATCTGACTCCTGAGAGTCCCGGCTTATATAATTTTGAGTAAGCGAAACTCGGTCGAGCTTCGCTGGTTTCTATTTGTTGATTAGTTGATCGGGTAAACTTATGAGATCGCCAATCGGCGACGATCTCTCGGCTTGTCCGATTTTCCGGAGAAGGAAAAAGAGAGAGTGTTGGTTTTTCGATCACACCTTTGCTATTTGCTTATAATAAAATTTTAGTAGCGTCGGAGTTGTATTTGCTCCGGCTGCTCTAAATTTTATAAGCGGTGTTCTTCTTGGCCTGGAGATATCCGGGTTTGTTTGGAAAGCTGTTCAGAGTGTTTAAACAATAAATTTTTGTTGCTCGTTGTAGCAAAATTTCGGGTTATTACTAGGCGTGGGTTATCCTTTCGGGCGCCGATATGATTTCCGTTTGCTCTCTTATCGTTTAGAGTCTAAGTTTCCAAACGATAAGAGATCCGTTTGAGTTATCGATTGCTTTTCATTATTTACTAAGAAAAGGGTTTGTTACGCGTTGGCGCGTCGCGTTGCAAGAAAAAGGGGACCGTGGAGTCCCCAGGACGTAACATTTACATTCAGAAACGTCATAGTCGTTTTCGTCGTCCTACTAAAAATGTGTGCATGTTCGTATGCCTGCTACGAAATGGCGTACATATACGAGCGCGGTGAAATTATTATGGTCGTCGTGGGACAAATTTGTGTGCATGTTCGTATAAGTTCCAACAGATGGCGTACATATACGAGCGCGTTGAAAGAAGAAAAAGATATAAATACATAAAAAGTGTAAGTTGGAGAGAGAAAGGTAATAATGCTTTGCGTCATGTGGCACGTTCCGTTTCATGCATATGCGTTCATGATTCTATAGTATACGTTAGCATGTACTATATGCATGAAACGGAACGCACTCAAGTTCACGCGTGGCTTTATCAATTTGACCTTGAATGATGTCGCCAAGGTCAGAACAAGGTCGTCTGGAATGTTGTAAGCGGGACTCTTCATCTTTTTTTACGTATTTCTATGGCCCTTATTGAGATCTTTAAAACAGTTAAAATTTATCCCTTTTGAGTCAGCTGTTTCTAAGTTATCGAGTATTTTATAGTAAGATGATTTTAGGCCATTTAAACACAAAAACTGTTTATTTTTTTGCTCTAAGTCTTACATGTTTTATTTAGCAGATCATAAACTACAACATATAAGGAAATCAGTTGATTTAACCAAAATCCAAATGTACATAAAATTAGTGTGGGGTCTTTTCTTCGAAACTAAGGCCCATGCATTTAAAACCCTTTATACTTTTTACATCCTCTATCTTTTTCAAATGAACTATGGCTCATTCAATTCCGTAGTTCGCAATTTGTGCCATCTTCCTGTTAGAACTAAGTTAGCTCCGGAAGATTGGTGGGTTCCCGGGTGCGATTCCTCAGGGACTCTTCTACGGAGTTCGAGGCACCTTTTTGTGACAGAGGAGAGCGAGTGCATGTGCAGTCACCATGCCACGTCACAATTGTTATCACATTTTGAAGTAAAATCCGAATATTTATCAAACAATTTTTTAAATATGTACATTTTTTGGTAGAATTTACGCAGAAAACAAACCTTTATTCTACTGTATTGGAGGCTGATCTCATCGTTCCGACGGATCACTTGCGTTCCGAGTATATCACGCTCGTTCATAACATTGTCGATATTTTTTTTTAGACGTCCAACATCTATATCCGTCTGATGTATAGTCTGCCTAAGACGTTTTTCTTCTTGTTTTCCTTTTTCTACTTCTTGCCGCAATCCTGATATTTCCATGTGAGATGTCCGTAGATCGATTTTGAGATCTTCCTTTTCTTTTTCGATCTTTCCCATCACTAAAAACAAGCAAAAATTCAGTGTAAACTCTGCTCTGTGTGCAAAATAAATTGCTAGAATTTGTGATTATATTCAAACTTAAATACTAGCCAAGAAAAAACTATGAATAAAAAGAGAGACGATATGAGCCGTAAAACCGGATGTCCGTGTTTCAATGATTTGTTTGAAGTATGATGCTAAACATTTCGATGCATATTAGAATTTTCTTCAGTGACTATTTTATTAGATAAAAAGATAAAAAAAAGGCAATAACAAGCTAACACCTGATGTTCGGATAAACTTCTTTTTTAATTCAGAGAGTTTAAAAAATGTTAACAAACGTTTCGATCCACTATGGGATCTTCCTCAGTGTTTTAACAAAAAATTACAAAAAAAATTCATGACCTATTTGACATCATAAAGAATATGGACAAGAAAAAAGATACGCTACATAGATATTCAGTATGAGAAAAAGAGAGGCGGAAGTGGCAGTTAAGTAAACCGTTAGTATTACGCAAGAGAATGCAAAACATCCTCTCGCTTTAAATGCAACTGAGACTGAACAGCCCTCTCCATATTTAAAGTACATGTAACGGTCTCACCCCCACCACGCTTGAACCGAATGAAGATTGTCACCTTGTAATTTTCCAAAACTGAAAACTATGGTTTCAGCTTGTCTGTGTCCAACATGACGTTAATTAAATTGCTTTATAATTTGATGTATATCATCTCAGAAACGGATTTCTTGAAAAAAGAAGATTCTGTGTCCAAGACTTTGACATTTTGCCAATCGAAATTGTGGTCCGTGTCAATTCTATGCTGTGTAACTACAGAAACATTTTCCACGCAACAATTAATTTGATTTTTGTGTTCGGAAACCCTAGTCTTGAGTTGTCTCATAGTCTGGCCCACGAAGCATCGCAATCATTACATTGCAACTTATAAACTACGTTTTTTTAAACTACTAATATATGAATATAAAGACATGAAGAACCGTTCGCAGAATGTTGTGCGTAAATGTGAGAATATATATATTGTGATGTGGTATTCGCGCCGCTCTTTCCCCGTCACAAAAGTTAAAAGATTTCGCGGGAGCCCGGGAAAACGAGCTGAAAAACGAGCGCCAAGATCCTCCAGGGCTTGCATGCATCCGCTTAGAATAGTCTTTTATTTTTATTTTTGTATTTTATGTAATTGCGGCGCTTCACCGTCATGAAAACATCGAGGGACTTTTCGTCAAAGACAACGGCGGTACCCGTACGAGAGAGAGAGAGAGAGAGGGAGCGGAACTGAGGCGCGAAGTCTCACTTCCCGGTCACGTGGAGAGCCAGGGTAGGTGACTGCAGACAGAGGCCACAGCGGAACCTCGGCGCTTTAGCCTAGCGGAACGGGCGGAACGGCGGAACGAACCATCAACGAGCCGGCCTACGCTGAGACGTGCGGTGTTCCTGCCATTCTGCTGCAGGGTTTCGAGGACCCGCTGCTTATCTCATTGCTGCATCCCTTGGATTGCTANCCCGCCCCGCTGCTTGCTGCTTTACTTATGCTGCTGTAAATTAGTTATAGACACTACGAGCGTTCAAATTTCGCGGCCCGCTGATCCTGCCGCCTGCGAGCGAGCTTGCGAGCCGCGCCGCTNATCCTGCGACCTGATTGGCCCCGCGACCTACCCCGCGCGACCTTAGCGCTACTCGGGGTATCGACCGCTTATCGAACGAAATCTTCTTGCTCTTGGTCGCGAACAGCTGTGCGAGACACACGCATATTTTCGGGCTCCCGTACGTACGCGAATCTTCCGTGCCGTTTACGTAGTTTGCCGTACCGCGATTTCAAACTGAAGGCGAAGTGATTCTCGTCGAGAGGGTGACCCCGGCGGATTCAAGGAAAGCCGACGAGTTAATCCGGACGGAGAAGACCGGACATGCCGGAGAGCAACCGACGACGGTGAGGTGCCCGTTGTAGTTCTGTTAGCCACGAATCCGAGTTGCACAGGCCTCGTGTCGAGGCTGGTCGCTTGCTTTTCGCGTTTTGTTTGTAACGGCAAGGACGTATCCTGGGCCGTATTCACGATTGTTTTTCGACAGCGGCCAGAATCGGGCTTCACGGGGCTTCGTGGCCGTAGTTGTAGATTCGTAAGTTAAGTGCATGTTTCATTGTAATTTCGCGAACCTAAGTCAAGCCCTGGAGTGGCGATCCGGCACCAAGTAGCCTATTCGCGTTATTTGTGTCCGTCTTTTCTATTTCTTTTTGTTTTGTTTGTCTAGCAAGCGTATTCGCGTGCGCGTGCCGTGATTATCGAGACGTATCGCTTGCGTACCGTCGGGTCTCGGCTACCGACGGCAATCCGCCGCCGCGGTAAGAAATCGTCAGAACGAAATCGGATTTTTCTTGTGTGATCGGCTAGAGTCAGGTGTGTGCGAATCGGAAACGGTGGTAATCGGTAAGGAATATTGTGCCGAATTAACGTGCAAATTAACGACAGTTTCGGATGGTGAATTTTCAGGACAATTATCGCCGAACTATTAGCGAGCGTACGGTGAATGCGTGTCGCCTTTCGAGCGTATAAGTTGTCCGGGATTATTCGCGGTCGAGCAACGTATCGTATCGCCGATTTTCCTGACGCCAAGATAAGAGCGATAAAGAGCGTTTTTAATCATTTTGTGATAAACAATCGGGAGAAGCCACTCCGACGTCGCACCTCCTTCGCTCTGTATCGCGAGTATTTTCTTTCGAGTGCATGCGCGTAGATTGAGAAATCGGCTCGATTTAATCTTTTGGGCCTAGCGACACGAAACCGGCGAAAACTGCGCGGCAGAGTGAGCCAGTCGACCAAATTGCGATTCTCAACGTAACAAGTAAGTCCGGGTTGATCCACGGCTTGTAAAAAGGCGACTGCACGCTATTTTATTGCGGCTTAGCGTTTGCCCTGCACATCTGCTTGCACTCTCTAGCTGTTTAGCCTGCCTCTAGCTTTGCGCCCCGCGATTGCTATATTTTAGTGCCTGCGCTTGTTATCTTTCGGCTGGAATCCTCGAGTACCGTATCGCGTCCAGTACCTTTGCGGTATCGTTTCGATTCATTAATTTGTCTCGTTAACTCGCGTGACACGGTTTGTTAATTATTGTAAGTCGTCGTGGACTCCGTGTCTTCTTTTTGTTTGTATTATTTTCGGATGCTACCCCGCAGTAGCTTATTCATCTCTCTGTTTTACATTTCCTATATATTTTTTCTTTATTATCACTCCTGTTATCTTTGCTTTCATATCATTTTGTAACCAATCTTTTCTTTCTACTATTTCTTATNTTATTTCTTTTATATTATTTTTGCCCTTCAACGCGCGTAATAAACTGTCAATTAACTATTAATTCGGGCTGATTAATTACAACTCTCTTTTCTTTATTTGAGCTTCTTATCGCGAGGTCAAGGAACAGCCTGTATTCCGAATTTTTGCTAAACCCCGCCCCTCTCCGTTCCCAAAAGAGCTAGTCGGCCCGTCGTGCCGAGTGACGCTGATTTTTGACGCGACTCCGCGTCTGGCGCCCAAANCGACACCCAAGTATTCGTCGACTCGACCAGGCGGTGCTCGTTCCGGGCCATCTTTTCTGTCCTGCCAGTGATTGGACGTTGTCCTCTCGCGGACGCTCACCTAAGTCCCGGGAAGTAATCTCCGTTTGCGGGGGAGCGGCGCGAGAATTACGTTACCACCGCGAAAAACGTCACAATATACATATATATATATATATATATATATATATGTATGTATTAACGGGTAATATTTTTCACGTGAGTTTTTTGAAATTAAAATAACAATTTTTTAAATGATATATGATGCAAATTTTGCATCTTATATATGCAGGGTCTCCAATATCCCCTTAACTAATTTTTAAAATATTGCGAAAAAAACTCCTCAGCCAAGAGTCGAATCTGGAATCTTCAGGTTTCCGGGCCGTTGCCTTCCCTGTTAGGCAACCGAGGCACTTGGAGTTTGTCTCGCAATACTTCGTATATCTATCAAATATGATCAGATCTTTTTCATACCGCTTCTTCCTCCAGCGTAAATTCTAAGAATTATTGAAAAATAGAGATTAATCTCAGGCTCTATAAGTGTTACGTTTTGTTCACTATCTACAAGATTTTTGATATTTTTAATAAATCGATTTAATTTATTGAGACTTCTATAAGCTACGATATTTCCATCTTCCGTTTTCAACAATTTTGAAATTGTGTGCGATAATTCATTCATAAAAAGTACAATGAAATACTTTTTAAAGGTTTTTGAAATTAGTGTGGTCTCCAAATTGTCCGATATTCCGTTAATTTTGTTCGCAATCAGATATTTTATCCGGTCATTGATGACTTTAAGAGAGTATTGGATACCGACTATAGCCACCTGTAAACCGACGTTTCTTAAATCAGATTTTGTGTCGTATTTACTGCATCAAATCCAAAATGCTTCTCTAGAAATAAGTAAATTGTACTAAGAATTGGCGCTTGTTCTTTGGAATGTCAAATTTCAGCACAAATTTTTTCTTATACAGTTTCTTCTGTAACCTCACCATATATTCATGTATGTAGAATTATTTCTAAGCTTATGTAAGTATTTGTACTAAATTAGCGCCAAACATACGACAAAACCAAATCAAATGAGCTATTCAAATTATAATTTGACTACCTCATTGATGAGAGAAATCTGAGATCGTGATGATGTGTATTTGATATCACATACTATCACTCTGTCTGAAACGAGAAGCATTACGTAATTCACGAAATTTCCGATACAGAGTGCTGCACTATGACGCGTGCGCATATGACCATTATGCATGTGTATATCTGTCGGGTTACATGACAGATCTTTTACCTACAAATCTGCAAACATAAAGATCGTTTTATAGTAGTCGCAAAAAGCAAATGTAAGTCTCACAAAATTGATAAATTGCATCTATCAAATCACTCAATCGCACGATTGGTCACTTCCGCGAGATCTGTGACTGCAATTGCGTTTTACACTATCATAGAACAA